TATTTTATTGAGAATGGGCGTATATATACTTTGTTCTTCAGACATAGTTTGAATTGTTTCTTTTCTAGTAAAGATATGCTTAGGTATAGCGCCAGCAGGATAAGAGGTTGTAGCATTGTAAAATGTTTGACACCTTCAGACATAGTTTGAATTGTTTTATTTTCAAGCAAAGATTTGCTTAAGTAAAACTCCAGCTGAGCCAGTGGTGTTACTATTGTTATGTTTTTTTTATAGTTGTACTTGTATATACTTGTTATTACAATACAGATTTTTACTGGCTGTTAAAATCTTCATAGACAAATTAAAAATGACTAAACAGGCAGCTATCAAAATTTATAGATGTAACAAAAAATCTAGTGGTTTGCCTACACGCAATTTTTTGTAACCTTAATACCAAACCAATTCAATTGGAATTACAGATGTTAATGCAAATGTTATTGAATTCTCAGTTGTACATAAATTACTGATATTACTATCCTTTCACAATTCATTGACTTTTATATAACTGTAAAGTTTCTTTTGATTTTGTATATATTTATGCAAGCTTTCAGGAGATAAATTGATGGAACAGTGTTGAAGCTCAACTTATGTATTATAACTTACGTTAAATTTGATCTCGCTATCATTTGGACTAGTCAGAACTGATCTCTACATTCCAAGGGATTAAAGGATTTATTTTTCTTGTTAATGTTTATTTTTGTTTGAGATGTTACAAATAAAACAATGAAGAAAACGACATTTTTGTGTTTTATTATAATTTTTACTTAGAATTAAATCAGGTGAGCAGCTATAGTGTCCCTCTTGCGAACTCCTTCAGCATTATCCTGTAAACAAATGGGATTTAAAACAGGATTTGATATGTTGGCATCTTCTAAAAAGTCATTCACAGCATCGTGGTTTACAAGGCATATATTATGGAAAATGCAACTGCACATTATAATACTAACTGCAGTCCTCACACATGTATCAATGTACTTCATACGCCTAAATCTGCCTTTAAGTAAGGCAAAAGCACGTTCTATAACAACACGACATGAAGACAGGTATTTGTTAAACTTCCTTTGACTAGCATTTAAGTGTCCGTTGTCTCTGTATGGGGTTAAGATCCATTTACGGATGGGGTAAGCAGCATCTGCAATGATGTGATTTTCTCCACACAAAATTTGACCAATTTGCCACAAATCAGAGTTTCTCAAGATCCTGGCATCATGACAGCTGCCGGGATAGCCAGTAAAGATGTGAGTAAACATCATGTTATCAGTGCAAACAGCTTGTACCTGCAGGGAAGCAAATCCTTTTCTGTTGATATATGAATTTCCATGTGCTGCTGGCTTCTTTATTTCAATGTGAGATCCATCCAAGGCTCCAATTATTCCCGGAAAACCATTCCTCTGTTCAAAACTTGCCACAACTTCAGGAATCTTTTGTGCATTTGGCCATACAATAAAACGCTGCTTGAGGTGCCTATTTACTGCTGCTAACACTCTGTTTCTGCAGCGAATAACGGATGACGCAGAACTACCAAATCGTTCTCCAATTTTATCTATTGTGTCACAACTTCCTAGATACTACAGTGTCATCAGAAGCTGTTTTTCAACTGACACATGCTCTTTACCTCCTGGATGATAACTGAACTCGGGAAGATCCTTGAGGTACTGACTAAAAATATGGAAAGTCCCTTCTGACAACCTGCATGAACTTCCTGCGAAAGCTCTCGTCGTCATTAAATGGTACAACTGATTCTGTATAGTCCAAAATCTTTGCCTTTAATTCCAGTGGCCTGAAATAGAACATTTAGAATGAAGGTAAGGACAGTGTCATAGCCATATATATGCAGTGGGAGCAGTTCTTTCAGAAAATAAATAAAGCGTATAGTTTTGAAAAGTGGCTTACACATCTTTCTTTTCGTGGAATTCCCACGTGTCTCGCATAGAACATGCATTCATAACAAACTTCATTATTTTGACATTTAACTCAACTTGAAATAACAGAAAAAAGTGTGTTTAGACCTAATCTATGAATGTCTTACAGTGAACATTCTGCTCCCATCAGTACTGTCATCGTTTCTTCACCCATATCATCGGATTCTTCGCCAGAATCTTCCAGCAAGGAAATAAGCAAAGGAATGTTTATATTACTGTCAGCCATTTTGTTTGTGTTACGCGTTCTGTTTCATTCCATTCAAACGTCCCGGACAGTTTCGTGTTCCATTTCATTCCAATTCATCACACCTCTTGGACAGAAACATGAAGAACGTGTCCGGAATGGTAGAATGGAACCGCCCCTTGTTAACACTGTAGTGGTCACATTTTTGACTCACCTGTCATGAGACTTGGTCAGAATGCTTGTCTATGTAATTGTTTGGATGAGTTTGATGGGCCAGGTGAGCGATCTAGGGCCATCATGGCCCTCTTGTTTATATAAAGATCATCTACTGTTTTTGAATGTAAGCTTCATATTGAATTGAAATGAGTATGAAAATTTGTACTTTTAATGCAAAAGATTTGGGAAATTATATGAAAAGAAAGCAAGTTTTTAATTGGCAAAAGTATGATACATGTCTTTTACAAGAAACGCATTTAAACACAAAGCGATATCTTAAATGGACATCAGATTGGGATGGACGGGCTTTTTTCAGTGGAAATACGAATAATAGTTTTGGCGTATGCTTCTTAATTAACAGCAAATTCGATTACAAAAGTCTCCTACAACAAAAAACCTTTTTTCCTCGAGTCTTTGTGTCGTTTGTGCAATGGATATTGAGTCTATTGAACACCTTTTTTTGTCAATGTTCTTACACGCAACATTTTTTGGAGGGATTTAATAGAATATTTCAAAGAAAATAATATTAGTATAGAAATTAACTTGAAAACAATATCTGACTTAATTACAAACACAGGCATAAAACTTTATTCTTTTTGTTGCAAGATATTACATAATTATGTAGTTGCAAAAAAGGAAAACGCACACCACAATTTAACTTATTTTTACATTATTTTCGGAGCAGACTATGTTTTGAAAAATGTATTGCATTTAATCGCGATAAACTGGACCTTCGTTTTCAAAAATCGAATAGAATTTTTCCAGATGTAAATATACAACATATGAAAATATCTTACTTACATGAAATATAAAACAATTATGTTTAAAAGCAGTCAAAAACTGTAGATGTATCTTTTGTTTTTTTTTTCTTGTTTATTTTTATTGTATTTAATTTTCACCCTCTTCACTTTACCTTTTTGTTTAAATACTAGCTTACACTAATACGAGTATCTGATTGCTGATGGTACCCGAAATGTATGCGTGCTGTTTTGTGTATGGGTTATGTTCGAACTATGTATAGTTATAAATCCTGTTGGTATTTATGAACTCGAAATGTTGGTGTATGGGTGCGGATGTATGTGCGTGCGTGTGCGTGTGTTTGTGTATGAAAAAAAAAACACAAAAACTCTTTGTGACCATACTTTTGTATTATCTGGACAGGAGTTTATTATATGTTATTTACACTTTATTACTGTATGAGCACACAGAAAAATAAATTATAAAAAAGAAGGTTGACATTTTGTATTCAAATTAAATCCATAGAGTTTCATTTTATCTTTTCCTTTTTTGTTGGTATTAAAGTGTGGTAGCTCTGCTTCATTTGTATGGAACGGTATTTCTATATGAGAAATCAAATGAACGGTTACTCTGTGTAAAAAAAAAGAATGGTAACTCCAAACGGTAACTATGCATGAGAAAATTAAGGAACGGTAACTTTGATTTGCCTTATATGTATATAGTAAAAACTTAAAAAATCTTCTTAAAAAACAAAGAGCTAGGGTTAAGATACTAAGCATGAATATCTTCTAGTGAATGTCTATCAAGTTTGTTCAAATAAAAGCCCAGGGGTCAATATTGGCCCGGCCTGAGATTGGGGTGGTCATTGTTTCTCCCTATATGTGTATAAAAAATCTTGTCAAAACCGCTCAGAGCTAGAGCTTAGATATTTATCACAAAGCATCTTCTAATGGTTGCTTTCAAGTTTGTTAAAAAAAGCCCCTGGGTTAAAATTGGCCCTGCCCGGGGGCGGGGGCGTATATACAGGTTAGCGATCTCAGGGCCATCATAACCCTCTTGTTTTTAAAGCAATTATTATGATTTTACTATTAAACATATTATCAGCTTTTTAATGTTCTAATGGAGTGTTAGTTGTGTTTGATTAGAAAGTTCTTGTTTCACGATCATTTCATAATATAAAAAAAAAATCACAGTATTAGTTTGTTTGCATTTTGATATAATTCCTAAATCATAGGTAACAGTAAACATTTATAAATATCAGTAAAGAATTCAACTTGGACTTTTATTAAACCGTTTTGTAGTAAACGATCATCATATTTGTTATCAGAAGTCTTGTGTTTCGTTTTTGTAACAAGACTTCATTTTCCTTCACATAAATCATTTTTAAATTGTTGATATTGAGTATACTTTTGTAATATGTTTTCTATGGATCTTTCACACTTTATCTTGATACTTTCGAACGTCAAGATAGAGCTAACTAGGATCTATATGGATTGATTTTATAGAGACTCCTTAAAGATCCTGTATGTTGTGAGTAAAAAATTTACATGAAATGTTAAATTCGATAATATCTTTACAAATGATACTTTTTGGAACCTATAATATTGGTAAATCTTAATTTGAGCATTATATTTATGATCTAAAACCATAAAAAAGAATTGTGTTACAGGATCTTTAATTATTATATTTTGACAAGCTCATCTGGTAGTAGTTACCGAAATTATACTAAGATATGACGATCACACATTTTGTTACTATTCTATTTGTGCTAGTGAATATATACAATTATCACATGTTATTGTTTTAAGTAAATTTATAATAATGTGCATTGATTTTATATAGAAATAGAATATTTTATGCTAACATTTACTTCGGATGAATTGTAGCAGATAATAATATTAAATATCTATCATGTACTTAAACTGCTGATTTCTTTAATACATGTATTCATTTTATGTTAATATGTTAATTACTTGTAAATATATTGTCCCTTCTGGAATTTACTTGAATAAATCTATATTAATGTCATTAACTATTGGTACTGCTGGTACTTTACAATAACAGGAGATTTTATTAGTAGTATTCTCTGTCTCTGGAGTGTCCCGAAGGTGGTGCTTTTAACATGATGTATACTTTACACAACATTGCCAATGCAAATATTCCAAATACAATGCCCATTGCCAATGTCCCTAAGCTGATTGTAAACTGACGTTCTTCTAAGCTGCGTTTGGCATTTTGCCAATACCTTTTCATGTTCAAGTTCATCAGTGTCCACGTTGACATCACCGTTTTAACGGACTTGGCTTCATCGTTTCTCACCATAAGCATGCGTTTTATAAACTTTAATGCTATGTTGTCAATATATGGGTTGTCTTTACCTGTTGCATCGGAATAACTCACCCATCTTGTTCTGTTATCTTCTAGCGAACCTTGGATACTAAACCTCTGTTCAATTTCCTTCTCAATTTCTCGGAACTCCTCGTAAGTAACCTTTGGTTCATTAGAAGACCATTTAAAGCTGTTTTCATCTTTAACCAGATCATATTTGGTCAGGACTACATAGACGTATGCAGAATCTTAAATATACAAAACATATTACTGATAAAAAAGTGACCATTTATGACCATTTCAATAAACCCAAGTTGATCATAACATCAGAATTATCTTCGCTGTATAAATCGATGAAAACATTAAAAATCTTGAGTATATATGCAACAGTCTAGAAACTTAAAGGTCCATTTTGCCTCAGAAATGTTATCATTTTTATTTCTCAAAACCTGTTTGTCTTAAGTTTAACATATATTTCTAAAAACTCGATGTGCCCGTTATCAGTGTCTGGTTGTTGGATATTCATCAAACTATAGGGTCGATCCTAAGGTGATCCTGTACAAAAGTTACATTAGTCATGTCCTTGTGCATAATTATACATTTGGCATGAAGTATTTGAAAGTGGACATCTACAAAATTTTGAGAATTATGCAGATTGGGTCGAAAATGACAAACAAAACGTAACCTATTGACTGACTTTTGCATTGAAGAATCTTTACCATTCCTAGCGTTATATCTCAAGTGAGCGATCAAGGGCCATGATGGTCATCTTGCAGTAAGATTTTTCTCTATCCGAAACTATATTTACAAGAAACAGAGACAAAAGGAGGTTTTGAAATAAAATAAAGAGGGAGATTTCCCTTCCGAGAACAAAATCGTACACTATAAATGTATATTTGTAAAATATTACTAAGTATCATTCAATAACATACATTTAGGCATCGCTGTTCTAGGATCAGTCTTCCGCAGTATTCGTAAAAGGCAATCAATTAATTTATCCGGAACTTTCTTCTCTCGGCAGCTGTGAACAAAGACGATCTTTGTCATCCTCCATTTCTCTCTGCTTTTCTTTAATATGGTTTCCTTTAAGCTGCCAACTTTATGCTCTTCTTGTAATTTTGTCAATGCTTCAATGCTGGTACCAGGTTGAACATGCCCTGATTTAATGATATATTAAAGATAAGCCCTTAACATGTTAAATTATGTACTGGTTTCACGCTGCAATGACATTTTGAGGGATTTCAATAACAATTAAATACATACAAAATACACCTTAATAACCAACAGTATAGAGCTTGGTCTGACCACACCTTAACAACCAAGAGTACAGAGCTTTGTCTGACAGTACCTTAATAACCAACAGTATAGAGCTTGATCTGACCGCACCTTAATAACCAACAGTGTAGAGCTTGGTCTGACCGCACCTTAATAACCAACAGTGTAGAGCTTGGTCTGACCGCATCTTAATAACCAACAGTATAGAGCTTGGTCTGACCGCACCTTAATGATCAACAGTATAGAGCTTGGTGTGACCGCATCTTAATAACCAACAATATAGAGTTTGATCTGACCGCACCTTAATAAACAACAGCATAGAGCTCTGCGTGACGGCATCTTAATAACCAACAGTATAGAGCATGGAATGAACGCACCTTAAGGACAAGCAAGAAAGAGCTTGGTGTGACCACACCTTTATAACCAACAGTATAGAGCTTGGTCTGATCGCACCTTAATAACCAACAGTATAGAACTTGGTCTGACTGCACCTTTATAACCAACAGTATAGAACTTGGTCTGATCGCACCTTAATAACCAACAGTATAGAGCTTTGTCTGACCGCACCTTAATAACCAACAGTATAGAGTTTGGCCTGACCGCACCTTAATAACCAACAGTGTAGAGCTTGGCCTGACAGCACCTTAATAACCAACAGTGTAGAGCTTGGTCTGACCACACCTTAATAACCAACAGTATAGAGCTTGGTCTGACCGCACCTTAATAACCAACAGTATAGAGCTTGGTCTGACCACACCTTAATAACCAACAGTATAGAGCTTGGTCTGACCGCACCTTAATAACCAACAGTATAGAGCTTGGTCTGACCACACCTTAATAACCAACAGTATAGAGCTTGGTCTGACCACACCTTAATAACCAACAGTATAGAGCTTGGTCTGACTGCACCTTAATAACCAACAGTATAAAACTTTGTCTGACTGCACCTTAAGAACCAACAGTATATCTAGCTTTGTCTGACCGCATCTTAATAACCAACAGTATAGAGCTTGGTCTGACCACACCTTTATAACAAACAGTATAGAGCTTGGTCTGACCGCATCTTAATAGCAAACAAAATAGAGCTTGGTCCGGCCGCACCTTAATAACAAACAGTATTGAGAGCTTAGTCGGGAGCACCTTAATAATCAACAGTATAGAGGTTGGTCTGACCACACATTAATAACCAACAGTATAGGGCTTGGTCTGACCGCACCTTAATAACCAACAGTATAGAGCTTGGTATGACCGCACCTTAATAACCAACAGTATAGAGCATGGAATGAGCGCACCGTAAAAACCAACAAGAAAGAGCTTGGTGTGACCGCACCTTTATAACCAACAGTATAGAGGTTGGTCTGATTACACCTGAATAGCCAACAGTATAGAGCTTGGTCAGACCACACCTTAATAACCAACAGTATAGCGCTTTGTCTGATCGCACCTTAATAACCAACAGTGTAGAGCTTGATCTGACCGCACCTTAATAACCAACAGTATAGAGCTTGGTCTGACCACACCTTAATAGCCCACAGTATAGAGCTCTGTCTGATCGCACCTTAATAACCAACAGTGTAGAGCTTGATCTGACCGCACCTTATTAACCAACAGTATAGAGCTTGGTCTGACCACACCTTAATAGCCCACAGTATAGAGCTCTGTCTGATCGCACCTTAATAACCAACAGTGTAGAGCTTGATCTGACCGCACCTTAATAACCAACAGTATAGAGCTTGGTCTGACCGCACCTTAATAACCAACAGTATAGAGCTTGGTCTGACCGCATCTTAATAACCAACAGTGTAGAGCTTGATCTGACCGCACCTTAATAACCAACAGTGTAGAGCTCTGTCTGATCGCACCTTAATAACCAACAGTATAGAGCTTGATCTGATCGCATCTTAATAACCAACAGTAAAGAGCTTTGTCTGATAGCACCTTAATAACCAACAGTGTAAAGCTTTGTCTGACTGCACCTTTATAACCAAAAGTATAACGCTTTGTCTGACTGCACCTTTATAACCAACAGTATAGAACTTTGTCTGACCGCATGGACGTGGCGATCGGCCTTGCTCTATACTTGAGGCAAATGTTCTGACTTCCGGTCATAGCAGGCTAAGGGATTTAATTAAAATACACAAGTACTACATAGTCTACATGTTATGACAAAATGCTAATAAACATATAATAATGTTTAGGTGACAAAAGCCCACTGTCTATAATTTCATATTTACAGGTAACGTTGCAGTGTTTGTGATATACCAGTTCCCTCTTGTATTTTGCCATCACCTAAAAATAATAGTTATTCTTCTGGTTACAAGGAGTTTCAAAGATAAATTTATGCTTTGAGGTGGTATATCGGTAATATTAAAGCCAGTGACGATTGTAATAAGAAATATAATTTTTCAACAACGCGTCATGTTAGAACATACTTAACTCAATATCAGTACAAGTACCTCCAATACTCAATGTTAATTCAAGTTACAATACCTCCTATTAGAAGTTCTAGAATCTCGTCTAACTCCGCGCTGTCTGTATTACTTTTCCCCGCCACATCAAATATTGTAGGCAAGCCAACCAAAGACTCGCAGTGTAAGTATTGTCTTTCTGTATCACCCATATATTCTTCAGTAACACCACAACTTACATACCTAAAGAACATCAGAATAAAAATAAGTGTATTTTGTTAAGTATTCAATTTGATCCATAGATAACCAAAGTTACCTAATTAATGTCTGTTGTTTTCGTATACTTGAAGTTAATAAAAAAACTCTGTATATTATAGTCTGAATGAAATAATTTCAGTTCTGAAAAAAGTAATAAAAGTTATTTGAATCAATGGTACAAGTCAACCAAATTCCCTTCTGTACCATACCCAGTGTATAAATCTTTACCTGTTGCCGACTAAGCTAACAGGGTTGGTCAACACTACTATTTCGCGTAAATAAATCGAACTTAAATGAATATACAATATACATGTATTCAAAGCAGACGATACACTCGCTTACATCAAACAAAAATACAAAACATATTAGTAAATTAGTAATACCTGTCCAAAGAAAACGTTTTAGACTGTGTTGAACCTTGTCCTACTTTAGCCTTTGGTATATACATTCCAGATAGTGCTTTTATAATGGTGTTAACAATAGAGCTCTTGCCGGCACCTATGTTACCAAACAACAATATTCTCTCAACATCTTCACGATCCCAGCTGTTACACAGCCAGTCTATGTGATCTAACAGTTCCTTGTTTTCCTCCACCACAGCCTCCAACTCACTCATACCTAGTTTATCTTTATCTTTAACATCCATGTCATGTATTGAGTCGGTCATCTTGAAATGTTCCTGAAAACTTCCAGTCAAAATATTTTTTTAAAACGCACACGCACACACACACACACACACACACACAAAAACAAAACAAACAACAAAAAAAAAAAAACAAAAAAAAAAAACGAAAAAACGATATCACAAAAAAATATATACATGATGTGACAAATAGCTGATTATATCTAGAATGTTTAAAGAATTGTTTATATGTGTTCAAAAATATACTGCTGTATATATTTGATAAGTCTAAGAGAATAACAAAAATACAGCGGAAAAATGTACGGGTACCATAATGCATATTTAATATTTCAAGGAACGCAGGAGTTGGGGATGGGGGCGGGCTTCAAGTAAGTGTCTGGGATGACAATAATCCAAATAGTTTCTTTGATAGTGCATGCTCTGTGTATGCTGACAACATGTTCTGAAATGTATTTGATACATACATCTACTTGTCAAGAGCAATAATTACAACAACCCCTTTCACCTGACCACCACCCCGCCACCGCCGCAACAGCATGAATGTTTCATGAACAGACCAATTATGGCAATTCTTCTGTTTCCAGGAGAATCTGATGTGCATAACTATATTCAAGTGAAATCAAAGCTAGACCATTTAATCTAGCATCCTTCATATATGATCGAGTCCATTCTGCTTTAATAACTTATTCTTTTTTTATTTTCCAGATCGGTTTTTCTACCTATTAAAATTAAAATGTATTTATTCTCAAATTTTAACCTAGGTTAATGACTGCCTCGTTTAGCTTCAATGTGGCTACGGCTCTGTATGTGTAAATTTTTGTAGCGCAATAGTGAGTCATTTATTTGTGGCATGTATCTAATCTTTACAAAATCGTATTAGGGGCCTATAGTTATTTACAGATTCTAGTAAAATTTAAAGAACTTTAAAAATCAATAACAAAAAACAACAACAACAACAACACAAACAACAAACATCCCCCACCCCTAAAAACCCAACAACTCACGTTTGTTTATATAGCCTTGAATCCTTAGTTTGTCTAGACAGAACACATTATGCACATTCAACGTGTAAGTTGCCACTGTACTGAAAGCAGCACTGCGGGTTGTTATGGAAATGTGATTTATAAATATCGTTGTCATCTTTTTCTACATTCGAGGAGGGCTTTGATCACTTTCCCTAAAGTTTAATAGGCTATAATTATATAAGAGGATACGCGTTTGTAAAATATCTCGTTACTCCGTTATCTATCTACTCTCACATGCATGGATCGAATGAGTGCTTTTTTTTTCTTGATTTTTTTGTCTTTGAGCTCTCATCTAAAGATAAAATTTCCTCACAGATTCATTAATTTACCTGGAACAAGATGATAAAATCCCAGAAATCCTAGCTTTTTAAAGTGTTTGAACTTTTAATCTGTGATGATTTTAAAGCCGTTGCAACATTGATGTTACACTAAACTATACTATTTCTATTCAGCGATCTTCACACCTGTCTTCAATACCAGTCACATGCAAACTTTAAACTTCTATCAATATTTTATTAACGCAAACAGATACGAGATGTTGAACCCCCGCACAATTTTAAAAACGTGTGAGTCTTTTTATATAGCTTTGATTTTCAGAAATACAATTATTTGGAAATTGCTGAGCAAAAAAAAAAAAAAAAAAAAAAAAAAAAATACACCCCCTCAAAAAACAAAAAACAACAAAAACAAATAAATTCAACATATTGTATATATGTATTTATCACATAAACCGCGGCGCAGGAGTGTAATAAAGTCATTTAATAAAAACGATATTACACTTGACGATATTACACTAGTGTAATAACACTTTGACGTCACGTCCTTTGCGCTATAAACAGCGTTAAAGCGCGCTAATGTTAGCGTTACATTATGGGCGCGTCAAAGAAAAATGACTCTTGATTACAGTTTACCGTTCTTATTTTATATATGTGATAAATAGAATATTATATTCGTGTAGATTCAATTCTAAATTTATTGAACTCGTTGAATAAAACAATATTATGCTCGCCGGAGGCTCGCATAATATGATTTTATTCAACTCGCTCAATAAATTTAGTATTAAACCTACACTCATTCAATATCTTCTATATGTTCTAACAGAACGTCACAATCATTACTTTACCGCATGATTGCGTCTTCGGATTTTTCATGTGAAAAAGCTAAGAAAGTCTATGGTTCTACCCCAAAAATGCCCCCCCCCCCCCCAGCCCCTTCTTACAGCTTATGAAAGTTGACCTTTTAAACGAGAGATATAAAGTGTATTTATGCTTCATAGATACTCGTAGTAATACACGTAAATATTCATATGAAATTACGAATTATAGAAATATTTGTTTCCGTTATGGGTTTGATTTGACGAAGACTAATTACATTCGACTTCCATACTTAAAATTAAAGATTAAACAGAAAAGTGTTTTCTCTTTTTGAATTGTTTTGTTGTTGATTTTCAATTATTGTTATATTTGAATTTCAGTGTACTTGAAGACAGATCGGAATTGAATATATTCGATATGAGAAGAGTTCATACAATTGATTTCTATTGGAGTAATATGTGTCCATCTGAGGAATGCAAGATTTCACTTGTTATACAAGAGAAACATATACAGGTAAGCCTTTTATGATATCACAAAATTGTAGTCATATTTTAAATGTAATCAAAATTTTAGAGGTTAAACCAAATTGTACCTAATCATTCAAACATATTTCTGTCTTTAGCTCTTTGCAAACGACAAAATTGTTCCAGGCAGAAATATGGAAATGGCGGGGGAAATGGCGGAAACATTTTTAAGACAACTGGGACGTGTTCAAGTCACGGCGTTTCCGGCCTTTGGTGCAACATTCAAAAGTTTTGGATTTACAAAATATTGATAGTTAATAGTGTTTCAAACTTTTTATTTTTCATCTTAGGTTTACATTTAGTAAAGCATCATTTTATAATGAATACAATGAAAAACTGTTATTTCGTCAAGATTCATTTTCACTAGTATATAATTCTCGCTGGAATAAACATGGAAAACATAGAAATGCCGTTTTATGTATTAAATACCCTATAACACAATGTGTTATGGTTTTATATCATAAATATAATTCTTAAATGAAGATGTGTCAATATTGTAAGATCCAAAAAGCATTAATTGTAAATATATTACTGAATTGTCAATTCATGTTAATAAAGGGAGGTAATTAGAAATTTATTTTCTATACACTCTAAGTCATTTTTTTTCAATAAGAAATGAATGCATACATTTTTATGATTACATATAACCTGGACAAATATTTGCATTACATATTTTACATATTCATCTTCAATGTTTGAAAATTGTTTAAGAAGTATAATTTTATACAATTTCACCTAAGTGTGGTAACAACCTTAATTACAACATACAGGAACTTTAAAGCAACGTTATTACGTAAAGTTGGTTATATTTTAAACAATATATTTTGACAGTTTTACAGAAAAGTCGATACATAGGTATTTTCTGTTTGTTAAATGAATCAAAAAGCAATATTTGTTTATCTTTAATTTTTGCTACAATGTCGTTGTTATTATGTTTGTTGGAAACTGGATTTGAATGGATAAGAAAAAGATAACTTTTATATAATGAGTCATTGCCTCAATGTGAGTTCATAAGAAATACTCGAAGTTTGATATTAGTTCTGAAATCTTAGAAATAAAGAAAATATAATGCATTTAGAAGAAAAAATAATAAATGAGTGCCCCTATAAGTGGTTCTATTATTGTTATGAATAGTTTCGATTTTTTTTTATATTTTACCGTATATAGAGGATTGAAACAGTTCAGATTCAATAATTTTTATGAAGTCATATAGCGCGGTCATCTCGCAAACATACAAGTCTTGTAATATTGCTTTAATCAACTCATTCAATAAATCTAATATTGATTCTACACAAAATAATATTCAATTTGTCACATGTCTCAAAAGTAATGGTTTATTTAAATACGGTCTTATCTGATATTGTTAATGTGTCAAAAAATTTAAGCGCCCTACCACGCTTTGTTTTTATAACGCAATTGACGTCTCGCCGGATGTTTATTAAACGTGTGTAATATGGATTTTATTAAAACTTTATACGTAACTCTTTCATTTTCATGCGTTGTGTTTATGTGAATAATGTGTTTTATCTATCAACTTTTTGATGCTCTTACTTAAAAAAGGGGATAATACCGTGATAAGGTGACCGTCTTGCGTTCAAAAGTATGAACGTCCGCCAGTCCGTACGTAGGTCCTGTTCACTTTAGAAGTAAATAGCCTAAGATTATGTTATTTGGTTAGAAAATTGTCCAATGGTAAATAGTTGACCGCTATTATTTTGAGCTCATTAGTCATTAGGTCAAAAGTCAAGACCACAATGTCACTGTGTAAAAGGGGTTACATGTTGTTTTAAACTGATATTATAAACATCTGTGTTTCTCCACCTTCATTAACTATACATCAGTATGAAAATATGCCACTGTTACAAAGAAATAAAATGTGGAAGTACGTCCTATGCTTAGCCCTTAACTTGCTGAATTATGAAATCACACTACTTTGTGTTTGACATGTTCAAAGGTTTAATCAATCTTGATATGGAACTTTGACTTGCCTAACACTTTACAAGTGACACAGAATAATAGCTGTGAGAATAATTGTTGTTATGGATTAAGATATTTTATCTTTCCTGTTGTTGAAATTATAGTTAATTTTACATAATTGGTTTAAATGAATGTCATTTTGTGTTTACATGATTGTATGATTTCCTTATTGATAATATAACACGTATAAAAAACTGCCTCGAATGTATGTCAATTAGACGCTGGAAAATTACAATAGGTGCAGTCGCGCATGCGGATATTGTCGCTTGTTTCCATGCCGTCTGTTATGGTCTGCTCTTGTAATGTATCGGATTGTTCCGTAACGTAGGTTTATTAGCGGAAATTCACGGAAACGTCCGAGACAATTAATTAAACTATGTTCGTATTTCGTGCAATTTTGTAAACAGTTCATGTATGTCCAATCGTGTTGTAGTTTATAAAAGGTATTTGAGTGAAAGTTTAACATTGATTTTTAACGTTTCCTTTCTTCTAAATTCTCACGACCTAACTATCCTTCTCCAGATCACTTCTTCTTTATTCTCATGGATTCTATTATAAAAAAAAAAAATAGTATATAACTTCTATGTTTATTTAATAAAGTTTTTGCTATATCTTATCATTAAGTTAATTTCATTCTTAACTGAGACGATGTGGTAAGAGTCTTGTCATGTCATTCATTTACTTGAAATTATTTTTATTTCGACGCTCGATTGTTGTATTGTTATATTTTGTGTATTTTTAATTAACTTGTACTATAATTATTATGTATTTATGTTTTTTAGTTTTTTTTCTTAATTTATCATTTCCATTAAACGCCGGGAGTTGTATTCATTATTTTTTATGTGACATATGACCGAAACAATAATATTCAATATGTTATCATTGATATTGGCAGATCAATATACTTCATAAAGCTATTAGTTTAAACACATTATCTCTATAAATATGTGATACTGACAGAACAAATAAAAAAGCAACAATAGACCATTAACTGACCATTTGAGTATTGCCTTTTATTAGTCATCTTGTCAAGAACAAACCTTCCAAATGGTGAATTTTATGTAGCAACATAAAACATGTAAATGTTAGATATTTTTCAACTATTCTCAGATTGATTATAATAAAGAACAATGTTCATCTCAATATTGTTGTATTGCTTATTTTGAATACTAGCATTCTTAATTATATAGCCATTTGAAATATCGTACAATAAATATACTGTTATATTGATTCAGGCTTTGTTATTGTAAATGTCATCTTCATTACGAATAAATACCGTATGTTTACTATGAAAGACTAATAAAGGATCAACATAGAAAGGTTGACGTTCATGACCAAAATTAGAAGTATTACCTCCATGAACAGGCTCAATCAAACCGAGCCTGCAACATTTTAAATGTTGTCTCGCTGGGCTTCCTTTATGGATTCTTTATTTTTCTCTATTATTCATTTACATATTAACATAAACACCCAATTAAGATGATATCAATACC